ACTTGTATACTGTGCGCATCACATAGTACGATTAGCTAATAACCAGAATAAGAACACATATGTTTTCAAAAACAACATATCATGTTAGTAGAGGCCGATCTTTTGATCGAGCGAGCGGGGGTGCTCATTTCAGGACCTTCCCTTCTCGTACCCAAGTTCTCGAGCCAAGGCAACTTTGGTGATGACGGACACGTGGCCTTAGGCACGAGTCACACGAGTCAGGGTTTCCTAAATTTCTCAAAATAAAACATTTAGGTGGCGACCATGTATCTGGCAAAGCAGTCCATGTTTGGCACTTCTTTATAAAAATTAGTTTTCGAAAACGATTTGCCAGATTTGGACTCTTTGGTGATTTATCGGTTTTGCATTGCACTTTGTGAGATTAGATTCAGAACTGTGACATTGAGTCCGAATTGTAGTAGCTATGAACTACAATTTGCGCCCTCGCACACGAAGCGGAGTTCGGGCCGTCTACAGAAACCCTTTAACAGTGTAGCTAGTATTGCCATTTGGGAATAGGAGATGTTGGGCACTATTGGCGAGTTCGACTTGTATCTTGGCAAGTCCATTGAGTTGGCAGCTTTGTTTACTGTAGTTGTATAACCTACACTTGTGAGCCGAGTTATAGAAGTATATAGGGGTGATCATGAAGTAGGATCCCTCGGGGAGAAGATCTCTAGTGGGAAGGTAGAGAAGGGCTTGAACATGTTTTCTGACTCGAGTGTTAGATACCTCGATCGTCTTTTCGTGCTGGAGTTTTGCAAACAGGAGGTACTCCTAGAGTTCCACCATTCGCGCTTTATGGTGCATCCGAGAGGCACAAAGATGTATCATGACCTTAGTCATTAGTTTTGGTGGAAGGAGATGAAGAACGACGTAGCTGTGTTTGTATCGAGGTGCCTTACTTGTCAACAAGTGAAAGCCGAGCATAAGAGGTCAGCTGGTTTGTTGCAACATTTTCCTATAGCAGAGTGGAAGTGAGAGCATGTCACGATGGATTTTGTTGTGGGTCTTCCGAGGACTCAACGGGGTAATGATGCCATTTGGGCGATAGTTGATTGGTTAACTAAGTCAGCGCACTTTGTACGCGCACAAGTGACTCAATAGATTTTCTAGCCGACCTTTATGTTATGGACATTGTTCAACTTCACGGGTTCCTGTGACTATTGTTTCGGATAGAGATCTGCATTTCATAGCTCGATTGTAGCGGAGCCTACAGAATGCCTTGGTACTAGGTTGACTTTTAGCACCGCTTATCATTCTAAGATTGACGGGCAGTCGAAGCATACCATTTTGATCCTGGACGATATGCTTTGGGGTTACGTTCTTGACTTTAAAGTGTCATGGGAGAGGCATTTTCCTTTAGTGGAGTTTGGCTAAAACAACAGTTTTCAGGCGAGCATTAGCATGGCACCTTTTGAGGCCTTGTATAGCCAATCGTGTAGATCTCCACTGTGTTGCGCCGAGGTGGGTGACACCCTTATGTTGGGTCCTAAGTTAGTCTGGGAAATGACCGAGAAGGTGATACTTATCCGTAAGAGGTTAGTTTTGGCTCAAAGTCGTCAGAAGAGTTATGCCGACTGTAGGAGGAGACCATTATCATTTGAGGTAGGAGATCATGTCTTTTTGAAAATATCACCTAGATGAGGTTTGATGAGATTTAGAAAGTGGGAAGTTGCCTCCTAGATTTATTGGGTCTTTTGAGATTCTAGAGCAGATTGGGGAGGTAGCATATCGCTTGGCCTTGCCGCCACAGTTTTTCGGGGATCATGACGTGTTTCATATCTATATGCTTCGGAAGTATGAGCCAGATCCATCACACATGTTGGATTGGACCAAGCTAGAGGTAGATGAGGATACCTCATATAAGAAGAGACCGGTTAGAGTTTTAGATACTCGAGACCAACTTGGGAGCGTGAGTTGGATGTTCGTAGGAAGTATCTAGACCTATTTATTGATGTTTCAACATGAATTAAATTTTTTTTTTCATGTTAATGTAATATAAACATTGTATATGTTTTGGAAATATGAATTGTATATTCACTATTGAGAACTTGTTTATCATTGGTATGAGAATGAATGACCGATGGATGGGTCATGGTGATGAATTTGATTTACTATCATTGTTGTAATTGGTTTAAACATGGTTTTGTTGTGGATTTAAAATTTCAAGGACGGAATTCCTTAAAGGAGGGAGGCTATAGCGATTCTAGTTTAGACTAGACCCATTTGATGTTCTGGATTTGGGTTTCATTGTCTTATATGGTTGTTCATGTCTTATTTCCCCTTATTCCTCATTGAGTTTGAGTATCATTATCGTGTTTGGAACATGTTGGGAGTTAGTCTTTTCAAAACTGTGTTGCCCAGAATTTTGCTTGTTCGCTTGAGTGACGCTTCTTGCTCTCGAGCGGTCTTTTACAGTCTACAAAACTACTAAGAGTTTTGATATATGCGCTTGAGCGACATTTTTTACGCTTGACCGAACTTTTAAAGGTCTGAACTATTGGGAGGGTGCATTGTGTGCTCGAGTGACCATTCTTGCGCTTGAGCGGTCTCACTTATTCTCTTTGGTCGCTTGAGCGACACTTTTTGAGCTCGAGCGGTCCGCGTGTATATTAGTCTGTAAAGTCACCTTTTGACTCACTTTTTCATCTCTCTCTCTCTCTCTCTCTCTCTCTCTCTCTCTCTCTCTCTGTCTAAACTTTGTAAAAACCCTAAGTTGAGACCCTCTTTCTCTAAAACTCACATTCTCTCTACAAATACACCTAGATCTATTGATTTCTTCACCCATGCCCCTTTTATAAAAGGCAGAACACTTTGAGAGCTTCCTTTTGATCGAAGCAAAGTTGGGTTTCGACGTTGTTGAAGTTTCTCCATTCCTCCTCTTGTCTTCTAAGCTTGAGACAAGGATTCTCCACACTTTTTATGATTTTTGACTTAGTTATTTGTATATTAGTCTGTAAAGTCACCTTTTGACTCACTTTTTTATCTCTCTCTCTCTCTCTCTCTCTCTCTCTGTGTCTAAACTTTGTAAAAACCCTAAGTTGAGACCCTCTCTCTCTAAAAGTCACATTCTCTCTACAAATACACCTAGATCTATTGATTTCTTCACCCATGCCCCTTTTATAAAAGGCAGAACACTTTGAGAGCTTCCTTTTGATCGAAGTAAAGTTGGGTTTCGACGTTGTTGAAGTTTCTCCATTCCTCCTCTTGTCTTCTAAGCTTGAGACAAGGATTCTCCACACTTTTTATGATTTTTGACTTAGTTATTTGTTATTTCTAAAACAATATTGTGATTTGAGAATTTTTGGACAAATCTAGGGTTTGAGTTAAAAATCAAAGGAGGGGTTTTCAAATGGATTCTTGGAAATGGTTATGAGATTCTAAATGATAATGAGTTATGATAAAATAGTGCGTTTTATCATGGAGATTGATTTATAAAGAAAAGTGGGTTTTTCCCTAAAGATTTCAAATGTTGATTTTGTAAGGATAAATGGAATTGATGTTGGAAATGCGGATTTGGATTGATGTTGATAAGGATGGTGAAATTGGATATGTATTATCACTTCCATCTTGAGATTTTTAGAGAGTTTATCTTTATGGAAATTATTTATCTGTTTAGAGATATCTGCTTTGAGCTATCGGTGGAGGATAGCTATGATTGGTGTAGAAACTGCATGAGAATTAGGAGAATTGAAACTATTTTCTCAATCATTGTATTGAGCATTGTTGCATATTTAACAAATTTGAAAATGTTGTTGTTTTGAGAAAAATTGGTGAATACCTTAGTAAATCTGGGTAGGAGTGTAGTTGTGGTATTATGTTGGCTAGAGTGTCCTTGGTGAAAGTCTAAAAACCCGCGCGGTTAAGTGTCGAGCCTTCCAGTTAATACTGGTAAAAATGACAAATTTGTAGCGCTTTTTGCTAACTTGCAGAAACGTCCTAGAGATTCACAGTGTTGTATTCATTGTCCTATTTTCTATTCTAAAGGAAATGATATCATGAAATGAGATATAGACTTGGCATTGCACGGTTTGGAAAGAGAAATGAAAATGTTTTGGCAAGAGCATTGCACATGCATTCACCTTATATCTTTGTTAAAATTTATAAACTGTGCAATAGTATCTCTACTAGGCTTTGGCTCACCTTCTGTGGAGAAAACCATTTTCAGGTATTGATGATATGACTTCGCCAAGGCAATAGCTTAGGAGGACATGGAGTTGAAGGCTTCTTTTTGCATGTTGTATTTATTTTGTGCAAGCCAATGGCTTTAACTGTATTGGATTTAAATCCATTTTGTTGTAACCAAGTGTTTTCTTGGAAAGTTGTAAGCCTTTAGGGCATTTCTTATTTGTTTTAAATCTTATTTCATATCTTTAACTTGTAACACATGCTATAGATTCAAGGTTAGGACTTGTGAATATACAACTGCATGTGCTACCTTTTGTACAACGGGACTATATGAAATGAAAAGGTTATTGTGTTCAACATGGTATTTTTATTTGTTAATATTGTGGATGGTCCTATTGTAATTATTTCGTGGCATTACAAAAGAGAAGTTTGGCAACTACATAGTTCTGTCCATCAAATTTTTTTGAAGCTAAAAACATTATAGAAACTATTTGACTTAACTGGGTGATCTAACGAGGCTACCATTAAAGTTTCTAAATTTTAGCATTGCGATTATTTATGCCAATTTGGCAAAAGCTTTGGTAGATTGCCAAAGTTTTGACATTACTATTAACGATTAGATATATTTTAGAGAGATCCAACATTGGTTGGATAGATGTGTAAAAAATGATAAAGTATTCCACAAGTAGGTGACGAGCAGGAGGGGTGAAAACCCTAATGGAAAAATTTTAACCGAGCTATTCAATTGGCAAGGTTCCCAAACTTTGATATATCATTTGAAACGGTATTTCATCTCAATTATCCCATAAGTATGGTTTGAGAATGAGATTCTATCTTATGACTATTTCACTTGTCTTCCTTGATTGCAGATTCATGCATACAAACTTTCCCATTTGTGGCTTAATGATGATAGAGTCCGAGAAGCGCTCCATATCCGAAAGGTACATCTTACATTGTTTCTTTAGAGTAAAATGTTTAAATAGTTGCATTTAGAGAAGAATTAGTATCGAAAAGATCAAGTGAAATGTATCAAAATTGAGATATGGGTTGTGAATTTTCTTATAATCATTAACCGTGAAATAAATGTGTTTTATAGTACCATAACTTGTCGTATCAATACTATGAACCAATGGTATCAGGTACAAATTGCTACTATTGTGAATTGGCCAATATACATGTATTTTTTTCTTTCTCATTGATTAGTCGAAATGTATCAATACCAGGAGGGAAAAAAAGATACATTTCTATAGCTATTTAAAACTAATTATAAGAAAAATATCATGAAAATGAATTGTATTTCTTAAAATAGGGAAGCATAAGGGAATGGATAAGATGCAACTATGGATTGCCTTACGCTCAATCAATCTGGGACAGTTTCCAATATCATGTGAACCTCAGCACTAAAGGTTACAAGTCTCTTATATACAGGTCAGATCACTATGTTTCTTTCATTATAATAAAAATTTAAGTGCAATAAATAATTGTGGTTTTAGTTACACAATATTTCGCCTCATTGTAACTATTTAAAAATAATGTTGCTAAAAGTATTCATGTTTTTTTGGACCCCTATCTTCTTTCAACACTACCACAATTTTGATTTTTGATATTATTATTATTATTATTATTATTATTATTATTATTATTTACTTTGAACTTCAAGCTTAATCTTAATTCTATCATTACCCCAAACATATGAAATTCTAATCCTAGCCCTTATCTTAACCTTTACTTCAAGTAGCCCATCCCCTACACCTCTGCCACCTTAATGCCCATCCTCACCCACCCTCTCCAACCATACTTTGAACACCAACCTTAATCTTAATTTTATCTTCATTCCTAATATATGAAATTGCAACCCTAGCCCCCACCTCTACCTCTACCTCTACCTCAAGTTGCCCATCCCTCACCTTGTCGTTACCCTTTAGCCCATCTCTACCCACCATCACTAGCTCCCAACCCCATTTGCACCATCTTATGCCCTTCCTTAGCGCTTCTTCTTTCTCTATTAGTACATCAACCCCTATTTATCCTTCCTCGATACCCCCTATTTTCTTTCTCTTCTTCTTATTCTCCTACTCTCTTTCTCTTTCTTGAATGCACTCTCGCACAGTTATTCTTTCTCTATCAAAGGGGTTGCATAGGGAAGTGAGAGGAGGAGGGTAGGGCTAGGCTAGAAAAGGGTGATAAATAGTAAAGAAGGACTGATGAGGGTGAGTTTGGGGCTAGAGGCGATGGGGAGCAATGAGAGAGGGTCAGTAGGGTCTGGGCATGGCAGCCAAAGATGGTGGTAGCAGGTGGTGTAGAGTTAGGGTTAGGGTTTGAAAGGGAAGGAATGGAAATAATATTGCAATAAAAAATTAGGAATAAGTGTAGGTCCAATACTAACCTCACTCCATCTCCCTACATCCATTCTCTTCTTCATTTTCTCCTTACTCTCTATCATTTCTCATACTTCTCACTCTCATATGCATGAGAAGATGAGCCTTGATCTCTCAATTTAGGGTTTCGAAGGGTACAACAATGATGAGAACTAGGATTTTAGGAGGTGAGAGGAGGTGGTGGAGGTTGTGAGGAGAGCAAGGAAGGGACTGGGGGTGTTACGTAGATTGTAATGGAATGAAGAGGTAGGGCAGTGGAGATGAAAGGTATTGCAAGTAGGAAGATAAAGAGGGCAAAAGAGAGGAATGATAGCGGATAGTTGGTGTGAAAGATTAGAAATGAAGTGAACAAGTGTGGTAAGGAAGGAAAGAGAAGAAGAGGCAGGTGTTCCTGGTGATGCAGATGGTGGTAAGGTGGGGAAGAGTAGGTGGCGAGTGGGGTAGAGAAGAGGTCATTGAGAATGGGATAACAAAGGGAGAAGGTTTAGCAATTATGCAATACTTGTATCATTTTAAGGTTTCAATTTTTAAATGGTAATTTAATTAGAGATAAAATGGTAATGAATAAAATTTAGGAAATGGTAAGGGTTGAGACTGGTTTGTGGGGACAAATAAAGGCTCTCAAAAATAAAAAGTAAAAAGAAGAAAAAAGGAGTTGGCTTCTCCATGGAGAGAAGTCTAATTCTATCCAATTGGCAGTTAGTCTTGTCACGGATTTCATTTTAATTATCTAACTCTTCATTTTTATAGGTCTCATGAGTATTGATCATTTACACACACCCAAAAAAACAAAAAAAAAAAAAAAAAAAAAAAAAGAAAAGGAAAAGGAAAGGAAACAGAAATTAACAAATTATTATTACATGATTTCATTATATTTTCTTGAAACACAATTAAACAACTAAGATTCATGGTGAAAAGAACATACTTTTATTTTTGAAGTTAAATCTGATAAAATTATATATAATAATCATTATTAGATCAATTTAATTTAATTTATTTTGTTTTTTCCATTTTATGAAAAATCAATATACAAAAAATTTACATAATAAACTGTTTAAATCATTAAAGTAGGACTTAACCATACATAAATGAATTTTTCATTAATGGTAGAGAATTTGGTTCCTACACAACAACAACAACAACAACAATAATAATAATAATAATAATAATAATAATAAAAAAGAAGTTGGTGTAATGATGGCTGAAACAGTGGTGATCACGGCATGGTAGTTCCATTCTTGGGAACCCAAGCATGGATTAGAGCTCTCAACTATTCCATTGTTAGTGACTGGCGTTCGTGGTGGGTCCAAGGTCAAGTTGCCGGGTGGGTTCACCTCAGTTTTTCATATTCATTTTTCTTGGATGAAAGCTTATTGCAAATATTGTTTTATTTATTTATTTATTTTTCATTGACAATGTGTAGTTATACAAGGACTTATTCCAATCGGATGACATTTGCTACGGTTAAGGTATGATATTTCTCCATTTCACACTGTTTTGCATATTTTTCAAATGTGTTTGGTATTGTTTCAAATTTTTTATTTTTGGTTTTCATGTTTTTTAAAATAAAAAAAATGAAAACACTTTCCTTTTTATTTTTGTGTGAAAATAATTATTATTAAAAATTGAGAAAAGTATTTCTAAAAAACAGAGATGTTCGAAAAATATTTTATACAAACAAGTAGCCAAACAAGTTTTCTGCATCATTTTTCTTTTTCTTTTTTATTTTTGAAGAAAAAAAATGATCATAGTACAAAAGGTGAAGTACATTAATTTATTCTTTTGTTTTTTCTTTCTTTATTTTCTATTTACGTTCTTGGTATTTTTTTAGTTCATTTTCACTTTTATCTCTTTAATTATCGTCCTTTATTCTATTTCTATCAATTTTGTCTAATTTGTTCCTAGAGTTTCTAATTTGAGGGTAGATCTAGGCCCCGTTTGGTAGAGCAGTGGGAAAGTGATTATAACTTATAACTTAACAGCTTATACCTTATAGTTGTGAACATAAGCTGATTTTTGACTTATAAATTATGTTTCTCCTCCCCCACTCAAAGAATAAGTTGATTTTTGACTTACAAAAAACTATAAGCTGTATTGTTAAGCTGAACCAAACACATCAAAATAGCTTAAATTAAGCTAAAAGCTGAAATAATCTGGAAATAAGTCCTACCAAACACGGCCTTAGTCTATTTGGAGATGATTTTCTATTGAAAATTAGTTTAAAAACTAGTTTATTGGGTAAAAATAAGTCAACAAAAAAAATTTAATACTAAAAAAACTAATTTATTTGGCATATTCTAAATGTTTACTGTTTTGTTATAGGCTTTTGAATAGTTAAAGTTCACTTTTTTGCAAAACATGAATTAGTCAGATGATATAAGACTTTTTAGCAAAATAAACCCTTTTAACGAATAAGTTGGCTTTTAAGCTAGCCAAATGAAGAATAATAAACCACTAAGACTAATTTGATGGGTAAAAATGTCATTTTAAAATTTAAACAATTTAAACCACATAACGAGACACTCATTTTTCTTGCTCATTATTTTGAAATAAGGAGTGGAGAAGAATAACTTGTCTAGTATAATTTGAGTGAGAAGACAAATGGTTGATTGTATGATGTAGATTGTGCAGATTATAAAACTACCTATTGTATGGATGTAATGGGTTAGAATCCCACCACTATTAATTTGTACATTTTATCTTGAACAGGATCATATGAACTGAAATATAAATAAATAAAACACTATATAGACTAATGTCAAAAATATAATATAAATAATAAAATTGCCCCTCTCTCTAACAACTTCAGCTTTTAGATGAGATTGTAGTCAACACTTCAATATGGTATATGAGCAGACAATATATTATGTCTTTGAACCTCACCACCTACTCGATAATTAAAAAATGTTTGCACATGTTTGGCCTATTATGAAAAATAAAAGTTCGGGCACATGTAAGGGGCATGTTGAAAATATAATATAAATAATAAAGTTTTCATTTTATCAAGCAACTTCAGGTTTTAGATGAGTTTTTGCTCAATACTTCAATAACTAAATAAACAAAATTAATAATTTAAGAGTAAAATTAAAAAAGAAAAATGATGATAGTTAAAAGGATAAAAGAAAGTGAAATTAAACCCCCCTCCCCCTCTTTTATTTTTGTGTGTGTTGTGTGTTAACAGGGAGGAGGACATGTAGCTCCAGAGAGCAAGCCTGTTGAATGTTGTGCTATGTTTGAAAGATGGATTGCTAATCAACCTCTATGATCAATCTTTTACCTTACCCAAATGGATGTGCCAACACCCAAAAGTGTGATCACTTTCAAGCTACCAAAACTCCAATACGAGACATCGTCTTATCTATTGATACAACTATTTTTATATAAACACCACTTTTTAAGGATGCAATGTTTGTTATTTTTCTACGAGAAAGTGATCAATAAATGGATAGGATCGTATATTTCAAGTGTCCATGCTCACTAGCTTGTTTAAAAAATGATCCCAGTGGATCTAGAAATAAAATATGGTATTCAAGTCAGATGTTTACTTCTTAAATTATTGGGTCAATAGCCCCAAGCGTAAATTTTTTGGGGCCAACAAGACATTACCTGTTCAAAAGCACATCTATTTGTCCAAATGCTTATCTCTCTGTCTATCTATTCAAATATAACTTATTTGTCCTAAAGATGACACTTATCTGCCCAAATGTCACATATCTGGCTAATGTCACATATTTGTCCACCTCATTGCCACCAGTCACCTTCTTCAGCGCCCAATGACTTTTTTTGGCCAATTTTATTGCAACAACAACGGGTACCCTTATAACCAAAAAGGGTTAAATCTTAGACCAAATAACGTATGTGACCTCATAAGTATGGACTTTTAAGAAGTAATTGTCGACGGTCGAAGATGGTTAGCAGACGGGACAGTTGGTGACTAAAGGTAGTTGTCATCAATGAGAGGGAATTGGTGGTGGCTAGAAGAGATCAAAAGTAGTTGTCGATGGTCAGAGATTGTGATCAATTGACAAAACTGGTTATCACATGAAGGTAGTTGGCAGCAGTAGAAGATGTGGCTTGTAGTCGAGGGAGGTGGTTAGCAAAAGAGGACATTTGCAATAGTGGTCAATGGTAATGTTGTGCAATGGGGGTGGTTGAAAAATTATTGGAGAAAAAAAAAGGAATAAATAAATAAACAAGTGAAATCAACTTTTTTTTTTTGTTGGTTACTAAACTAATTACAACTTTTTGAAAATAAAAATTTTAAAAATTCTGCAACTATAAGCATATAACTGTATATGTAAATGTCACCCAAACATGTATATATTATTTTATTTTAGATTTTTATAACCTTTTTTTTATGCTCAAAAAACAAATATAACATTTTTTTTAATTAAAAATAAAGGGTAAATTATACTTTGTCCCCTTAAAGTTTCACCTGTTTCTCATTTTGGCCCTTTATGTTTGCAATCCTTCCCACTTTGGCCCTTTAAGTTTAATTTTTTCCACTTTGGTCCTTCATGTTTGCAATCCATCCCATTTTGGCCCTTCATATTTGCAATCCTTCCCACTTTATACCTAGACTAACTTCCATCCAAAAAATTAACAGAATCTGCCATATCACTAACACATTAGCTCTATGTGTGATGTAAAAAATTCACTAAAGATACACAAAATATAAAATATAAAACAAAAAAATTGGAAATTTTTTTAGTCTTCAGTGAACCTTTTTTTTCAAATTTATTCATAAACATTATTACATTTTAGATGCATCTAGATTAGATGCAGCTAAAAAAATAAAAACAAATTTAACTAAAAAAAGAAAAAAGTTTACTAAAGACGGAAAAAAATGAAAATATACTGACTCAAACACCTGTATTGTCAATTATGAAATGAAAAACTTACTATCGTTTATTTTCGTGTTTAGTGAACATTTTTTTTTTTAGTTAAATTTGTTTTTATTTTTTTTGCTACATCTAATCTAGATGAGTCTATAATGTAATAATGTTTATCAATAATTCTTTTTTAAAAAAAAAAAGTTCACTAAAGACAAAAAAAAATCAATTTTTTCTGTTTTTTATTTTTTTATTTTTTGCATCATTAGTGAATTTTTTACATTACACATGGAGCTGATGTGTTAGTGATGTGACAAATTCTATTACTTTTTACGATGGAAGTTAGTCTAGGAGTAAAGTGGGAAGGATTGCAAACATGAAGGGTCAAAGTAGAAAGGATTACAAACATGAAGGACCAAAGTGGGAAAAATCAAACTTAAAGGGACAAAGTGGAAAGAATTGCAAAGATAAAGGACCAAAGTGGGAAGGATTGTAAACATAAAGGGCCGAAGTGGGAAAAATCAAACTTAAAGGGTCAAAGTGAAAAATGGGTGAAACTTTAGGGGAGGCAAAGTATAATTTACCCAAAAATTAAATATAAAGACACAGATCGTGTTTAATGTCCGGCTACTCAATTATTATAGATTTTGATTCTCTGTCTCCTGCTATGTAGCTAATTTTATAATTTCCATGTGACCCGCATGTTGCTTCTAATGCTATCATAATTATAAAAAATTAAAAATTAGAACAATTCTCCATCTCTTGTTTCTCTCTTTCACTCATCACTCTTCTTTCTTTGTATGTCTATCTCTGTCTCTCTTTCTATCTCTGTGTCTTTCGCTCATCTCTCTTCTTTCTATCTCTCTCATCTATCTTCTCTCTCGCTCATCTTTCTTCTCTCTATCTCTCTCATCTATCTTCTCTCTCGCTCATCTCTCTATCTCTCTCATATCTTTTCTCTCTCTGTCTCTCTCGTTCATCTCTTTATCTCTATCTCTCTCTCTGTCTCTCTCACTTATCTCTCTTCTCTATCTGTCTCTCTCGCTCATTTCTCTTCTCTCTCTATCTCTCTCTTTTTCTATGTCTCTCTCTCTCTCGTTCATCTCTTTTCACTATCTTTCTCTCTCTTTTTGTATATCTCTCGCTCATCTCTTGTTTCTCTCTCTGTCTGTCTGTCTCTCACTCATTACTCTTCTCTCTCTCTTTCTCTCTCTGTCTGCCTATCTATTTGTTTGTTTGTTTCTCTATCCCTCATTGTGTTCACCTTGCTTACTCTTCCCCTCTCATCTTCTCTATTTACTGAGCTCCCTCTCAATTTATTAAGACACTACAAGAAAATGCACTTTTAGCGAATACTTTGTCTCTCTCTCGTTTATCACTCTGTCCCTGTCTCTGTCTCTCTATCTCTCTATCTCTCTTCTCTATCTGTCTCTCACTCATCTCTCTCACATCACCCATCTTCTTTACCATCTTCACCACTACTGTAAATGCCATTCTACTACCACACTACTACCACTGTTGCCACTCCACCTCTACGACTATCATTACTACTACCATCGCCACCACTCCATTACCACCACTACTACTACTATTACCTCTCCTCCACCACCGCTACTCTATCTCCTCTATCACTACCATAACTTCACCACTAATCTCCTTTGCCATCACCGTCACCACCACCACCACCACTATCACCTCTTATCCACCACCTTCACCACTACTGTCGCTTCCTCTCCTCTACTACAAAAATTAGTTCCTGATTTTTAGTAAGAAAAAAAAATTGGGTCGCAGGAAAATATTTTTCATTGACCACAAAAGATTAACTTTATTTTAATGGAAAATATTTTTCATTAAAATATTACCCCTACTTCTACTAAATTAAAAAAAATAATTTTTTATTCATTAAAATAAAAATGAAACAAATAAATTTTCAACCTTAGTAACTAAAAAAAAAAGAAAAAAAAAATTCATTAACTAGAAAAAAAATTATTTTAACAAAAAATAATTTTTTTTAAAAGATAGCCGTTTTGTTGTTTAAATATTCATTTGTGACGGAAACCAAAAAAAATAATATTCCCGCTCGATTTTCCACCCCTCCTCATTTTTTTCCATTCCCGCTTGGGTTCCCCCCTCCATAATCTTTTGAACCAAAATCCCCAATCTCAAAAAACAAAAATCCCCTTCAACCAAAAATCCTTAATCTTTTCTCTCGGCTCTCTCTCTCTCTCTCTCTCTCTCTCTCTCTCTCACTCTCTCCGACGAGCGGCAGATGACGACGAGCGGCAAACGACAGCATCGAGTAGCCTCCTCGCCTTCCAAGTTCGTACAAAACGTCGTGATGCAAAGGAACCCTGTTTCTCTCATGCTCTCAAACTCTTCGTTGGAAACTTACCTTTCAATGTCAACAGTGCTACTCATGCTGGGTTGTTCGAACGAGTTGGAAATGTGGAGATGGTTGAGGTATGAATTTAAATTTTTGTGTATCTATGAAATATATATATATATATATATGGGTTTAGGGTTTAATGAGATTTTAATTTTCTAGATAATGTTTTGTTTGATGTAACATTTATGTTATTTGGTGTGAAGGGTTATTTTCATTTTCATATTTATTTATTTATTCTTGTGAACTTTTGTTAATTTTCAAGTTTTGCTTGCGAAAATTCTTTGACTGAAATATGAATTTTTGTGGGGTTCAGAATTTAGTTCAAATTTTATTCTTTGGATTTGGTTTGTTACAAATCTATGAAATAGATATGGGTTTTTATTTTTTATATAATTGTGACAAGGTTTACAGAGATTTTAGTTTTGTAGATAATGTTTTGTTTAATGCAAAATTCAAATTATTTGGTGTGAAGGTTTTTTTTTTTGGCCCCTTGTGAACTTTGGTTCTTTTTCTAGTTTTGCTAGTCAAAATTCTAAAGATGAAATAAGAATTTCTGTGGGGTTCAGAGAATTGAGTTAAAATATTTTGTTCTTTGGGTTTTAATGTTGCAATGATTTTTGTGGGGGAAAAAAAAAAGAAGGTAAAGAGAGATTCTCATGTGCAAATTTGAGCTGCTTTGGTAGGTTATATATGACAAGGAAAGTGGAAGAAGCCGAGGGTTTGGCTTCGTGACGAGGAGGTTGTCTTTTTGTCCTTTTAAATTTTTTAAAATAATCTTTAGCATGATGTTCACATTTTGATTTGGGCGGTAGGTTATATATGACAAGGAAAGTGGAAGAAGCCGAGGGTTTGGCTTCGTGACGAGGAGGTTGTCTTTTTGTCCTTTTAAATTTTTTAAAATAATCTTTAGCATGATGTTCACATTTTGATTTGGGTTTAATTTGATTTGATTGTAGAAGTAAGCAAAGCAGGGCCTCTGGTTGAGTATGAGCATAGAATTGCCACGAGTGATCTTGTGGATAGGGATAGTAGTCAGGTAATATTGCAATCAATTCACTCTTCATGTTTGATTATAAGTTTCAAAGGAAAAGCTAGTAGTTTGTATGTTTCTTCCGAATTTTCTCCAACCTAGTAGGTTAAGTTTCTCATATTCGATCGGAATTTTAGGTGAAGTAGCTGTGTATCAGTTAGTTATCATGAGCATACCACTACCTTTTGGTGTACCATTTTGGATTTATAACTTACAAACATTAATTTGTCAATTGTTGTGGATTTATATATATGAGTCTTTAATATAATTAAAAAAAAATTAGTTAAACATTTTATCA